AACCACAAACCTATTCTTCCTTTTAGTCAGATTCCCTCACGCTTTGAGAAACACTTTGGTTCAAACAGTTGGCGAATGAGCAGCTCATGAATAGTGTTCGCATTACAGCAGCTGCTGAATAACACAAACATATGGCAGGTTTACATAGCGTCCTTGTGTGATCTGCTGTGCAGTTTGTCCACAACATTGAAAAAGATTAAGAAGAACCTACGGGCCCCAGTTTTGCCCCGTTATGCACAGCAGTGTCATATCCACGAGTGTACAGGTGTCTGTTGTTGCTGCATTAAGCCACTCTGCATGCTTTGCTCCTCATTGTGTCCACTCTCGTTTGTGTCCTGTGTGTTTCCTACAAAGTGGTGGCCGTGGGCATGTTGGTGATTTGTTACACCCACGTGTCAGCTCAGGGAATGAGCTTCTATTCATTTGTGTTTGTGTGTTAACTCTCCTAGTTTATTCATGACATGGAGGGACTCGAGTGACACGTCATACAGTGAAAGTGTGGCCTTGAGGAGTTACGTGCTTATGATCACACAAAGATACAGGGATTGTTGCATTAGAGGCTTTCAGCTGAGACAACACATGGAAGACGAGCAGAGCGTAGAGTCACAGTTTCAGTGTGGAGGTCTTTAATGAGACACTTCCTGTTTTGAGTGACACATTTTGGATGATTTCTGCGTGGCTGCAAACAAGAGGCTTAAAGTAGAACAGCAAAAACAGAAGTGTTGTTTTGGTTGACATTAAAGCAGAAGCTTGAGAATGATTTTGAAAAACTGTATTAAACAATCTGGAAATGACCAGTGAGACTGGTGAACCTGAAGCTTTGCATTAATGGAATTCTCCCATCTGTTCCCACAGGTGCGACATCTCTACATCTGTGACTTTCACAAGAATTTCATTCAGAGTGTTCGCAACAAGAGGAAGAGGAAGACCAGCGATGATGGAGGGGAATCCCCAGATCATGATGTGGAGGTGCCCGAGGTAACAGGGAGTGAAACGTTAATCATTATAATGATGCTGAAGCTCTGTTGTCCAAGTATTCAAGTTTCTTTCCTTGCTTTCGATGTTTTCCACGTACCTCATGTATAAAAGCTTGGCTTGTTTTGTTTCTCTAAGCAGTCCATGGTGAACTTTGAGGAATGCTTTGGATGATTTCCCTGCACTAGTTTTAGTTTCACTTTCTTTACTGACTTTGCAGAACTGATGTATACGTCGTAAACATTCTAAGCTTGATTTTAAAAAAACCCCCTCTGTTATAATTTATCCACATCAACATTCGTCTCCAGAAGAACTCTGGTTTATCCAGATGTTGCTTTGCATACTTTAGGAACATTGCCCTCTGTGTTTGCAGCAATTCTTCCTGCTTTGCAAGCAGGCAGCCCTTTAATATTGTTTATAAACTCCCAGTTTTTTAGGCATCAGTTAGAGAGTGGAAGGGATTGGCAGGAGTATGCTAGCTCCCCTGAGCCTCTGTTTGTCTCTCAAACCAAAGATTGCCATCTAAGGTGAATGTGTTAATCACTCACATAAGACTGGATGGTGTGACTACAAATTAGTATCACTGTTTTCATTAAGATTCAAGTGGCTTTGTGTATGTCACTATATTGTTTACAATGTGTTACTTTTTGTCAGAAGCACATGCAATATATAGTAACTTTTTAAAGTTATAATTGAAAAAAGAATCACTTCTGTTAAGCAAAATTAAATGCTTACATATGGCTCGTTAATGTTTGTGCAGCAGTTTTAAAGTGAACCTTTAAACAAACGTTATTTCTCTCTGGGTAAAAACACCTAAGTCTTTTTCTTTGCCTCACCTGATTCCATGTCACTGTGTGGGTGGAGCTTTCTTGGTGTGGATGGGTAATATTTATCCTGTATTAACTTTTGGGTTGTGTAATGAGAGCTGTGGGTTCACAGTTAGTCCCCTCTCATTGTGCTCAACAGCACTCCTCGTGGCCTGTAATGATACATTTAAACTGCTTGAAACCCCACAGTGGATGTTTCTCTGTTCCCCAGTGCAGCCATATTTGAGAAGGCAGCACTAAGCTCAGACCACGTTTGGATTGTCACAATTTTCTTCTTTAAGAAAAATAAATCTGTTCTGGATTTACTTGTTTTCATGTATTTTCATGCTGCATTGACCCACTTTCTCTCTGTGCATCATTAAAGTTTCAGCTCCTTTAAAAGCTGAAAAAGAGGCAGAAGCCACTGGGAGCCTTGCATAAACCATGGAAAGCAAGATTTAAAAAAACAAAACAAAAAGCTCATCACTTTGAACCCACTCACTGAGTCCCTGCTTCTCTTGGTGATTTCAGGTGGACCTTTTCCAGCTGCAAGTGAACACGTTGAGACGCTACAAGCGACACTACAAGCTCCAGACCAGGCCCGGCCTCAACAAGGCCCAGCTGGCAGAGGTAACAGCAGATGCTGCTTTTCATTTAGGGTGTTGTGTACCCTAACGCTTTCATCAGGGAGATTACCGTGAGAGTGGATTTGGGTTTTTTTAATCCAGTACATCTCACTAATTTTTCTTTTTTTTTTCTTTTCTTTGGGAATGTTGATCACTGAGCTGCTCTCATTAGTGTATGCTGCTGTGATATAGGAAGTGTTGGCGCTCCCATTCAGCTGTAATGGCAAATTGTTAGACTGATTTCCCAAATCGACAGGTGGACTCGGTGCAGCCAGCTCCGCCCTCGTCCTTATAATTACCTTCTGTGCTTTGCGCTCCCGGTCATCCTGAGATGGGGTCAGCTGGGGTCACATGTGGTGTTGGGCTAACAGTGGGAATGAATGAAATCAAACTGGGCTGTAAGTTGGATGTTTCCCCAGGCTTTTAGTCACATTCAAACCCTCCTATTAATGAGCCTACCACATCATTAATAAAACACCAGTCAACAGCCCCACAACCAGTTACAGCTGTCCTGTGTTCAGCCGTGTTCAGGAGAACCATAGCAATGTGAGAGGCTGTGCAGAGGATGTTTGGCTCTGTAAAAGTCGAGGTAAAGAACACAAATGGCTATTTTTCGGTGTTTAGTTTAGGCCCGGTGCTTTTGGTGATGGACGCTTTCAGTGCAGACACCGCAAGGACTATTTCCAGTAATTATAAATTGACTGGAGCCAGCTTTGTACTGTAGTGTTGTTTTCACTCTGTAAAATGTTTTTGTTCCCTGAGCTATAAATTCAACTCCATTTGCTTTTGATTGATGCATCACTTGGCCCTCTGTGCAAATGAATAACCAAGAAGAGGTTAAAAGCACCAACTCTTCTTAAAGCAAGGATTGTAGGTGTCCAGAGGGCACCTACAGTGTTTGTAAGAGGTGTGTTTACATAGTTTTAAACAACTTATTAGTCAAAGCTGATTAAGAGGAATCACGGGGTTGCTTTTTAAAGAAGTATGAAAGTCGCTCTCATTTTTTGGACAACAATGGAGCATTTCTCAAATAATAACTCCCAAAAAAGCTGCTCATTATCATGTGACTGACTCATATAAACATCATATCAGAGGAGGGGCCAACTTAGAAGTGATCAACTTTTAAAGTTTCTCCAAATCTGGCTCTAGGGAAACCAGTGCGAGATATGGAAAAGTTAAATTTTTCACAATTGCAGAAAAATGAGAAACCGTGTCGCCATGTTCTCATTTACAAATATCGCAAACTAATCTGGATCCAGATTTCTTTCTGGGGATTTAATTTAATGGTGTGAAGGAAGATTTCAGCAGTCAGGTATGCAGTCTCAGTCTTTTCGCTTACCAACCCTGAAACAAACGATGTATATCGCTTTTCTTTTAACCGCTTCCCTCTTTCTCTCCCTTCTGCAGACGGTGAGCCGTCACTTCCGGAATATTCCAGTGAACGAGAAGGAGACGCTGACCTACTTTATTTACATGGTGAAGAGCAGCAAGAGCCGCTTGGACCAGAAAGGGGACGGTGGCAAACCCCTGGACTAAACTTCCCCCACAACAATCACAGCGGCAGCTACAACCACAACAACAACAACTGTAGCTACAGACAAAACCTGGACTTCAGTAACGGCTCCTCTGCACCCTCCTGCTCCCCTCTGAGAACAGGACACGAACTGCTGTTGTCCTTAAAGGACTCAAAACAGAAATCCAGGGTGAGATGAGTTCATTTTGCCTTTTTGGCCCTCTTCACAGAAATCCAGTCTCTCCCTTTTGACTTGGCCCTCTCCAAGGTATTCCCTGATTTACGAAAGCCAGGACCATAAAGACTGCTGATTACAAGGACTCACTCTGCAGAGTTTTATGTCGTCATACTGTAACACAACTGTGTCTATATGTACAAAAGAACAGCGTCCGACTCAAGCGACTCAGCTGAATGCAGTATCCTGCCTTAAGAGTCAAAAAAATAACAAAACAACTTTTGGTAATTTTGGTTTTCTTTGCCAAGTTGACTGTTAAACACGCTCACAGTGAGGAATGCTTGTGCCAAACGGGACTGCGAGATGGAGCTGAATGATGCGATGATAAGTGGGATTTTTCCCTCTTTCTTCATACGTGACTGTTGGAAAAGAAATGCCACCCTGGTCTGAAGTCACATCCAGAACATTAAGGCTCAGGTTCACTCTTTAAAAGCTGCAAATGGTGAAGATAATGATTATAAATGTTGTGTAAAACATTAAAGGAAGAAGAACCGAGTAAGGATGTGATACGTTGTGACTCAGTCTTCTATTTGTTAGTGGTTTCTTTTTTTTTCTTTTTCTTTTGAACCTGTGAACATACACATGCTGATTTCTTTATTTCTGTAACCCAGTTTAAGTTTAAGTAAGCTTTAGTTCAGCCTTAATTCCACAAGTTGTTCAAAGGTTGTGTCTGGTTGCATATATCATTTCTATTTTCTTTTTTTTCCTTCCACATTAAGTGAAAGCTGTTTCGCATGAATGGTCGGGCTGTATTGTGCTGCCATCCGACGGTGTTTACAGCGGATAAAATCTCTGCTCTTAATTTCATTCCTCCAAAGTGGGCTGACAGGTTAGCCTGGTGAAAGTGGGAGAAAAAAATTTATGTTCTTCTTTTATTCACAATTTTGAATATGTGTTACATGTGGATGCCCTTCTTCCGTATCGGCGGGTGAGATTTAAAATTTAAAAAACTTAAAACAAACCTTTTCATAGTGGTGAACCTGCTGCTGCTTCAGTCCAGCGCGATTCATTTGGCAGTAAAACGGCATCAAACAGCAACATGTTTTTTTTTTCTCTGTATAGACTCAGTTATTTACATTTAAAGCAGAAGAAATAATACGTTTGGCTTTTTGTTTATTTTTTTAACTTTTGTTCAGTTCCTTTTTTTTCCCTTCTGTTTTTTTTTTTTTAAGCTGCCTGAAGTGATGGGAAATGAGTGGGAGCTGTTGGGTTGCTAGCCACCGTTAACCACCTGTTGATGTGTTTAAAAACACTTAATGTGATAAAGCAAACGCGCTGCTGACGACCTATAAGTTTATTTAAAAATTTTTAAAGCACTGCTGCAACCTCCAGGTGACGGACATCTTTGCTGTTTTACAGACACATCCTCTTTGTCTTTTATGGTGGCGGAGGCACGGATCGTACGTGCACTTTGGATAATTGTGCGCACGATTTGTGTCAGATTTGTCCTTTTCTCTCTCCCTCGCTCTCTTTTTTTTAAGTGTCACATTTTAAATTTTGCTTGTAGGTTTGTTAGTGTCATGTAGGTAACATCCATCTTTATTAATGTGTAGGTCATGCCACGTTAACCTAATTGTTGTATTAGGAAAAAGAAACATATTTAAGTATGACTGCTTGTTGCTCCTATTAATATAAATAAATGTATTGTACAGGAAGAAGAAAAAGCCTCATCTCTGCTCTTTTAACATGTTGTGACCAGAGGTCAATAACACCAGACTAATTATACAACAGAACCAGCGATGTGCTTTAAGTGTTTTCTATGTAAAGATTATACTTTGTACTCCATGCCACTTATTTTAAAAAGTACAATCTAGAAATACCTTATGCTCTGTCACTAAAGATGAAGCAGAACATGTAAGTAATGCATCGCTGGACAGCTGGAGATAATATTTTTAAATAAAGTTATATACACATTATGCTTCAGTGGTTTAATGTATGATCCTATATGATAAGTTCTTATAGTACTTTAGCATCAAAGTATTTTAAGTTTATTAGGACTGATGTTTAAACTGTATTGGAGCTCTTCATTTAATGCTTTCTAACAGATTGGCACTGTATTTTTATTTTTTATTTTTTTCAACGAAATACACTGGAGATTCAGAGGCCTTGACTTTGTCCTACATGTTTTCCTCCACACTATATTTAAAGATGAAGAAAAAGTTTTCTTTTACTTGGTTGAAAGTGCAGTTTCCTCATGCTGTATTTTTACAATGACGCCCATCGACCACAAGGCGTCACTGTTGCTACTGTAGCGCGACTGCAGTCCATTGATTTTTTTTTTCTTACATTTGGAAACAACACTTACTTCACGCTGTTCTTTTATTTAGCTTTTTGCAAAAGAATGATAAATAAATAAATAATATGAAGGGAACTGTGGAGAACAGCAGACTGTCAACCTGTGGAAATTATTTAAAGGATAAGGACAGCGTTACATTTTCAAAGTAATGAATTTGTTGAACAGCATCCGGTTAACACGATAGGCTTTTTATGTTATTTCAAATTATATGTAGATTTAAAACATACCAGAAAACTATTAACAAATGGGTAATTTAGATGTGGGCCTACATATAACTTGTGTTGGTGAAACAAACTCAGTTGGGAAGAAAATGAGTAAAAGTAAGAATTTTAAAAAGGAATTAGAAATATTAAATTTTAAATAAAGGAAAAAAAATTCCTGCTGTTCGAAAAAAAAACTTTATTGTCCATATCAAGATTTAGGTTTCTTTGGTTTTTCGTTGTTTTTTTTTCTTACTTGGGACCAACACCTACATGGCTAAAAAAAATTGCGTAACAACAATAATAATAATAATAATGATAATAATTTTAAACATGATGGGGAAAAAAACACTTTCACCAAACACAGCTAGTGTCTTAAAATAATCATTTATTTACGGAACTATATATATATAATTTCACATCTAATGCACATTTCCATCACCACTGCGCACATTAATAAACGTTTATCCTATTGGGTCTTTTGATTTTGTTTTGTTTTTTAAGTTTTACATGATGGAGTGAATAAAGTTGCGGTAACTGAACAGTCGGTGTCTTCTCCCAGCGGACAGTGACATCGTGTAGAGTATTTGAGGTAGATTCAGTAAATTCAATACGATTCCTACGCGAAACAACAGCCCGGAGCGTTCACGCGCACACACACAGAGGGTCTGTTGGGAGATAATTGAGCTGGGAAAACCTACTGTGGACGAAAATACCTGAAAATGAAATAATACAGCGGGATGGAGCAGTGATAAACAAAAACGTGTCCCCCCTTTCATGATGTGTTTCTTCCGGCTTCCGTTTATTTGATTGTATCTTTAGAAGCCAGACATCTATAAAAATCGTCCGGTTTTTTTTAGTACTTACTCGATCCATGATTTAAAAGTTAACATTTTAATTTTATTTTTGACATGTAAATTATTCCTATTTTGTACACGTTTTTGTGTCAGCATTAAGTAAATTAAGTACAGTAAGTTTAGGGTAAGAAATGAAATATTAATTTTTAAAGAAAAAAGGAAGAAAAAATACGCCAACACGCACAAAACTGAAATTTATAACTGCTTCCTGGTTTAACAAAACTCTATAAATTATTAACACTGAGAAATAAACCGGTGTCTCTGATCTGAAAAAAACATATCTAAATTTAAATGGCTTCATACTGAAGACTTCTTCCACCTTCTGATAATTTATTTATTTTTTGCTTCATTTCCTTTAACTGGGAAGACAGCGTCAGGTAAACACACATTTAAGGGGAGACAGATGTGTTTTTGACACCTTCCATCGCGACATCTGGTCCGCAGGGGTGGAAAACATCAACAAAGCAGAAATACCACAAATATCAAACACCTACAATCGGATCTGTGAATCGGCTTAGAAACCACGGCACGAGAGAAGAAGACGTCTGTCCTGGAGCTCTCCACCGTCCCTCCACCTTTTATGCCCGTGTTGTCCTTTAGTTCGCTCTTTTTTGCGCATCGCCGCACGGCCACAGCGACGTGCTTAGGTTCACTCAGTGGTTTGTTTTATTTTAAATCTGATTTGAATCCAGAGTCTCTGAGGAGTTTTTTTCGGGTTGAGAAGTGGAGGTCACTGGTTCAGCTCCAGAGCCCAGACCTGCTGCGGCCACCCAGTCCGCCCTTTCACCTTCTTCTCGGCTCCTAAGGACTCCGGCAGGCCGTCGGTCTGTGGGAGGAGGGGGAGGAGGATGAGAATGAGGATGGAGACCAAAACACCACAACATAATCAGCAGGACAGAGAGCTGAGGGCCACTTTGCTTTTACTTTATTTGAGCTTTTTGCGCTATTTCGCACATCATATTTATCTGTATTCCAATTTTTGTGTCATGTGATGCACTCTGTTTTTAGATGTGCTTTATAAATAAATCTGGATTTGGAGTCTAGGTTTGTCCTCGTGTAATCTGAAGAAAACTGAAGGTTTTAGTGACGCATTCAGGGCGATGACATAACAGGATTTCACTAATTGACAGAAAGTCAGCTCCTGGGTCGGAGCATCAGGCATTGCCTGTCACGTACCCCAATATTGACTAGTAATCTTTTAAATACATAGAAACGATAAAGACTTTATCATTTGTCTAAAACAGCATTTTATTGTATATCTAATAAGGAAATGACATTTACTTTTCGTCGGCTATGATTAGGAGCTATATAATTAATAACAAATAATAATAACTGTTATTAATAATTAATAATAGCTTGTTATTCATGTCAATATTTTAGGCCTGCACATATTCAAGCCTAAATATCTGAGTCTAAATCTACAATTAGAAACTGTTAGCAAACATTATGCATTCACTATAATTAACACGTCATAAATGTTTACAGGCACAAACTGTTAAATGTTGTTGTTTTTTTTATTGTTTGTTAGGTTAGTTTAAAATATAATTTGGCCGATATTTCAACTGGGACTCATAACTGGGAATTATTTGAAGGAAAAATGAGATTAAATAAAATGATATAATTATAAAGCGATATAAAGGCTTTGGTTGCAGGTTAAACATTAACGGTACTTCAATCCGAAAGGTCATGCTGAAGCATTCATCATTTTCAGGCCTACAGCTGCTTTTACACTGACTAACATGTTACCGAATCCCAGAAAAATGCTTTGGGTTGGGTTGCACTTCACTTCGACACTCGTAACTTACCAGCTCCCGTTTTCGTTTCAAATCCCGGTTTTCAAATTTCTTAATTTCGGCCTTAAAGCCTTCCGTCTCCCCGGAGTCTTTGGCCAGGACGTCCATCAGATAAGCGATGTAACTGGTCGCCAGGCGTAAAGTTTTGATTTTTGACAGTTTTGTGTCCGCCGGCACGTTGGGGATGCACTCCCTGAGTTCGGCGAAAGCTGTGTTGATGCTTTCCGTCCTCCGGCGTTCCTTCTTCGGCCCCGACGCTCTCCTCTTTCCCATCCCGGCCTGGAGCCCTTCCAGCCGGGCATCGTGCGTCGTTCCGGGCGCTCCCAGCTCCGCAGCTGGGTAGGGCGCCTGAATCTGGAAATCAGGGGGCACTTCGCCGTGGTTCACCACCCAGCTCTGGAAGTACGGTGCATCCTGGTGACACCGCTGGACGAAAGGGAAGGGTTCGTGCATCAGGTGGTGGTGATGCTGGTAACCCCCGATGAGGTTCATGCTGAGCGGGATTGCAAATATGGTCGTTGCCGTGTTTCCCTTCGGCCTCTCTCTGCTGCCGCCCCAAAACGATCTTTGCTCGGGGATCCGCAGCCAAAAGAAATCATTCAAGATTTAAATACGTCTTCCTCTGGATTTATTAACAAGTCAAACAAAAACAACCACCACCTTCACATCGTATTCATTCTGAACGCGGCTTCAGCCCAGGCCGAGAAAAACGTTTTAAATTCCACAGAAGAAATGTCGGCGATGAGCAGGGCTCCACTTGCGTTTCCTTCTTGAAATCGTTTCCAAACGAGGCAGCTCTGACTTGACCAAGAAATTTGACCCCGGTGAAGGTGTGAGGCCCCAGGTTTATATGACTTCGATATCTGCGTGAAAAGGAGTCAGCCAATGGAGGGCAGCGCCCAGGATGGGAGGAGAGTCTGGATAGGCTTCTGAAAACA